TGACTGAATGGCAATGTCTGAGGAATACAGGGAGTGGATGCAGCTCATCAGTGAGGCCAGATTGCTCCTGATGGCCAAGGTATTGCTCTAGATACTCACCAGCTTTCGGATGACAGGGTCCTCTGTTGTGTTGAATGTGTGGAAGACACTCTTGAAGCTCCACAGAGACTTCTTGCTTCTCTTGAGTTAATCTCAATAGTTAACATAATATTCTGGCCACACATCATTTGATGTCCTGTGGCTCTGACACTTCCACGCAGAGCAACTTCATTAATTGAGTAGAGTCCATTTCTGTTTTCCCTCCCAGACCCAAAGAATTTCAGAGTCTCATTGTTTTTGTTACGTTTGGTCCCTTTTGTGCATCACCCTAAATTGCCTCAGGCCTTCTGGTCAAGATGGCGGCTCAGACAGACATGGCTCACCTCTTTGCACAACCACATCAAAATTACAACTAAAATATAGAACAACCATCACTGAGTACTGTGAAATACCAAGTTGAATGGAAGTCTGAGAGCAACAAAAGTAAAAAAACCACATCCATCCAGACTGTTAGGTGGTAACAGATAAGGAATGGGCTGCTGCCTCACCCACATATGGTATATAAAAACTCAGGGGAACAAGAAATCCAGCCCCACACCAGGCCCCCAGCCCAGGCTTTCAGTGCCAGGAATATAAATCCCCATAACTTCTGTCTATCAAAACAAGTGGGGATTCCTTTGGTGGAAGAAACTTTTGGTGTCCCAAGCAGTTTCTCTTAAAGACCCCACATACAGACTCACCTGCTAAGACTCATTCCCTCTGAGCTCCAGCACTGGCATAGCAGCTTGAAAGTCAATATTGGTGTACACGGAGAAACTGAAGTGTCTGTTATTAAGGTGAGCTGAGACCATGGTCCCTTTTCTACACCTTCCCACCCACATGCACCCCAGACCCAGCAAGCTGATGCGGTACCTGATACTCCATCAATCTGGCTGGCATTGTTTTACCTCCCTTACAGATCCCTAAAGACTAACCCATTCAACTTATGGTCCCAACCAAGCCGCTTTTCCATATGAATAGCTGGTCTTGACTCATGCTTCACAACTTTCTAAATTCTGTCAAACAAACAGCAGCTGCCCTCAGTTATCCCCAGGCCCAGTACTAGCAGTGTCCTGCCTCTATTCATAGCATGGCTTTGCCTGGAAATCTCCAAGCCTAGCACAAGCAGCAGCCATCTCAGAGATTCCTTTATAGTTCAGGCTGGGTGGCCGAGGCAAAAGACAGGTGGGAGCTAACCTTGGCCTGTAACACCTGGGAAACTCCAGGGACAAAGCACCCAGTGGACAGCTACAGTCCATGTCAGACCACCACCATGCTGCCCCTGCATCGCTCATCTTCCATATATGACTAAAATTGGTGGTCAGTGGTCACAGCCAACCTCACCTCTGATTGGCTGGGGTAAACCCCTCCTTTTGACCTACCACATCAACCAAGGATCAGCTACAACAGGAAGCTGTGAGTCCACATACAACGCAAACTCGAGTAGCCAACTTGGGTGATAGATGTTCTGCTTCTGGACCCTATAGGACAACTACTACATTAGGCCACACTATGAAGACACAGAGTCAGAGCAGCTCTACTTAATAACTGGAAACACTGGGAGGCTGCCAGAATGAGGAGACAAAGAAACATGGCACCAACGAAAGAACAGAGCAAAACTCCAGAAAAAGAGCTAAATGAAGTGGAGATTAGCAGTCAGTCAATGGAGATTTCACAACTCTTTATTCGGATGATCAAGGAACTTAGTGAGGACGTCAACAATATAAAAATGATCCAGTCAAAAACAAAGGATACACTACCTGAAATAAAGAATAGTTTATAGGGATCTTTAACACAGCCGAGAACATACTCAATGATAACGGTACACAGCCAAGAATATACTCAATGATATGGTACAGAAGGAAGCAAACAACAACCTATCAAAACAACAAGAAGAAAAAAGAATCCAAAAAAATGAGGATAGCATAAGCAGTCTCGGGGACAACTTCAAGAGGTCTGGCATTTGCATCATAAGGGTGCCAGAAGGAAAAGAGAAAAAACAAGAAGTTGGAAATCTATTTTTAAAACAGGAAAATTGCCCTGGAAGGTGTGGCTCAGCAGATTGTCAGCTACGAACCAACTGACGATTTAGGGTCGCTGGTTTGATTCTCAGCCAGGGCACATGCCTAGGTTGTGGGCCAGGTACCCAGTAGGCTGTGCACAAGAGGCAATCACACATTGATGTTTCTCTCCCTCTCTTAATCCTTCCCTTCCCCTCTCTCTAAAAAGAAAAATATAAAATCTTTAAAAAAAAGAGGAAGATGGAAATGGAAGTTTAAGATACAGGGAACAATATGTTATGTCACTGAGTTTGTGTTATATTCCATAATCCAAAGTTAGGAATGCAGGTCACCTCACAGAAGAGGAAGGTTAAGGGAGCGGGGGGAACCCAAAGGTTAAAGGTAAAGAGAGAATCTTAAACGCAGCATAGGAAAAAAAGTTAGTTACCTACGGGAGAATTCTCATAAGACTGTCAGGTGATATCTCAAAAGAAACTGAAGGCCAGAAGGGATTGGCAAGAAATATTCAAAGTTTTGAGAAGCAGTGACCTATGGCCAAGACTGCTCTCCCCAGCAAAGATATCGTTCAGAATCAAAGAGCAGAAAAAGAGCTCCCCAGGCAAGAAAATACTAAAGGAGTTCATCATGACCTAACCATTATTATATGAAATATTAAAGGGACTTATAGAAGAAAATGAAGAAGATGAAATTAATGAACAATAAAATGGCTAAAGAAATGACTATCAACAACTAAATCTAAAGAAAACTAAGCGACAAGAACAGAGATAGAGTCATGGATATGGAGAGCATTTTGATGGTTGCCATATGGGAGGAGGGGTGTGGGGGAATGGCTGAAGAGGTGAGGAGACTGAGTACAACTTGGTAGTTACAAAATAGCCATGGGGATATAAAGTACAGTGTAGGAAGTGAATTAGACAAAGAATTTATATGCATGATCCATAGACATGAAGAACTGTTGGGGGATTACCTGAGGGAGTGGGGGTTGCTGGGTGGAGGAGAGTAAAAAGGGAAAAGTAGGACAGCTGTAATAGCATAATCAATAAAATTTTTTTAATTAAATAAATAAATGAAGTAAATGAGGTCTATGAAAAATAACTTCTGGAATTTCTTTCCACAGGCATGTGCATTCACTAGCTCTATTCTTGGTGCTTTTAGGCAGCACCTGCAGCTTCAACTACTGTCTGTTTTTTCGATCTTTAGGCTGAGGATCTGCTGTGAAAGTTTCATCTCAATCAGATGGTAGTCTGTCTTCTGTGTGTTTACTGTGCCCATTATCTGGATACAGTTTCACCCTGCTCCTGGACATAAATGTGCTGACTTCACTACCAAACAGAGACGGCTACTGATGCCTGCCTTGGTATGTACGACCCATCCAGTCTGTAGCCTTTGTTAGTGGAGATCTCCTTAGCTGAATGACTGGTAGGGCTTATTTGGAATGTGCTCAGTATTTCCAAAGGGACTCCACGTAGCCTGAGGGAACATCCTCTTTGATCAAGGTGGACAAAAACTTTGCAGTGTTTTAAGACCTGCAGTGACCTCTTCTGGTCCAGATTTGAAAGATACTATGAGACAGAGACATCAACAGCTAGTGCAATCAGAAACTGGAAAAAAGGCACTTTAAATTTTTAAATAGGAAAAGAAACTCTTACAGATCTTCTATTGATTTTAAATTTTTATGACATGTGCACATACTCATTATTTTAAAAAATTTATTCATTTTAAGAAAGAGAGAAAAGGATAAAGAGAAACATTGATTTGTTGTTGTACTTGTTTGTGCATTCATTGGTTAATTGCTATAGGTGCCGTGATCAGTGATCAAACCGAGAACAGTGGTGTTAGTGTCAACCTCCAATCCACTGAGCTACCGGGCCAGGGCCCAAACTTTCCTGTGCATTATAACATTTCATGTAATGTAAAAGAATTCTCAGCTAAACATAGATCAACTTTCACTTGTAGATATGCATTTCTTTATTTACTCTAAATATAATTCTTGAATATGTTCCTAAGTTATTGAATTGACAATGCCATAGTAATCATCATCTCACTTATAAATCTTTATTTATGTGTGTTCCTCACAGGCTCTCTTTCATTATGATAATTACATTACCATTTTCACACTGACAAAAATACTAAGAACTTTGTCAGAATTTACTTCTCCCAATTTTCCAGCAATTAATTTACTTTAATTGATATTGACATTACAAGTAGGTTCCCATTTATGTTCATATCATTCTTTTCATTTCTCAAAGATTTGTCCTATGTTCCTGTGACATTTTTGTCATATGTATGATGGGGTAACTAGGTTATTAGTCTCTTTCCCGGGTTCAGTAATGTGGGCACAACCCCCTTTATTGCAATGTGCTGTCTTGAGCTTCAGAGTATTCACTTTCAACCACAGGAAGACAGACTCTCTACCAGCAAAATAATGCATGCAACTCAAGGAGGGCCGACATAATGGTTTTCATTTATTAATCAATATGATATTTTTAAATTAAGATATGTAGCCTTAGCCGGTATGGCACAGTGGATTGAGTGCCACCCTGTGAACCAAAGGGTCACCGGTTCTATTTTCCGTCAGGGTAACTGCCTGGGTTGTTTGCAAGATCCCCAGTAGTGGGCCTGTGAGAGGCAACCTCCCACTGATACTTTTCTCCTTCTCTTTCTCCCTCCCTTTCATTCTTCAAAAATAAATTTAAAAAATCATTTAAAAGAACAAATTAAGGTATGTATATTGTTATTTTTCACCGATGTTATTGCTTATTTCATAGACTACAATGTGCACTTTGTTACAAACAAGTTAGTGGCACTAACTTTAGTAGGATATTCAGTTGTTTGGTCTGGAACTTTACCTATACTTTATGGGCTAAATTCCTGTAATAGCATGTCTTTGATGTCTTCAATATGCACTCCATTGTTTGAAAAAAAAAATGTAATTTACATTAGAGGCATTAGCAGAACAAATCAGTGGGGAATCCAGTCACACTGCTGCCCAGGCAGAGCAGAGACTCCTGGCTGCATCAGGCAAAGATGTACGTAAGTATGAGTGTATTATTTATTGCAGTTATTTGCATTGTAGGTCCTACTGATGCAGGAGAGACAGCTTTAGGGACTACAGCTATGTCCCCCAACCACATTCAGCCTGAAGGAGGCACTTGTGCCATGGTAAGATTCAAAGCAGGTATACCAGGCACTTCCTTGTCCTACATATCGCGTCCACGGAGCGGCTATAAGGCGGGGTCACTAATCTTAGGGTATTGTCGGAGTGTAAACCTGTAAATTCACTCCTGGAGTCCGCTGGCGAAATGCAGTGTCGCACTGAGTTTACAGCCTACGTTACCCAGAAGGCAAGTGTGTATTATCGCAACTATGAGTCAACAAAGCCTCAGAAACTGCATTTCCGTTTGGGCCCTACTGCGGGGCGGGACTTCCTGCGTCTCCTGGCGGGCGTTTCCTCTTCGCAGTTCCCGTTCAGCCGGTCAGGGTGCTGTGGTCGCGGAATCGGTTGGAGACGGCGCCAGCGGGCTGCTCCCCGCAGGCGGTGCGAGGCCAAGTAAGCAGCCCAGGATTCCGGCTTCAGGGCCGGGACAGGCGCCTTTATACCAGGGACACGCTCCTCAAACCTCCGCTCGCTCCTCGATCTGCTCAGACAGACCGATGGCGGCGACCGCGCAGAGAAGCTCCGCAGAGGTGAGTGCCCGTCCCCGAACCCGTCCCTGTACCTTCCCTTCCCTTCATCCCGCTGACCCCTCAGCCCAGATGCCGGGCGCCCGGCACTTTCTGCAGCCCAGGTCCCGGCCTCCGGGATGGTTCGGCGCTCGGAGGTGGAAACGGTGTGACGCGGAGGGTGAGGGTGAGCGGCTGAGCTTCCTCCTCCTGAACACGTGCGGGAGTCGTGGACCCGGAAAGGCCCGCAGCCCTGCCTGGGCCTTCCGTCAGCCCCCAACGGTCTGAGGGGGACTCGCGTCCTGACTGGGAGCTGAGGGGTGGCACCTTCTTCCTGATGGTCTTGGGAGCCCTGGATGGTCGTGAGGCCTGAGAGACACAGAAAACCGACAGGAGTGGGGTGCTGAGGACAGAGAGGCACAGGAAGAGGAGCCCCTGTTCAAGGTCACGGGGCCGGTGAGCGGCAGCTCTGAGGAGACGCTTGTCCGGAGGTCACCAGACTCCGGGGCCGGGCGGAGATGCAGCTGAGACGTGCTTACCTGGAGCTGAAGGTGGTTGACTGCTTCTTCCCACAGGTTCTGACGTTGAACATCATTATGAAAGTAGACAAGGAAGGAAAGGGTGTCCCGGTGTCTATGGTGCGGTGACATTACCTTGTAGTGTCTAAAGACTTTTCCCCTGGTAATTTTCCAACTTCCAAATGAGACCTTGGGGATATGCCATTCCCGAGTGCAGGTCACAGGTGATACCAAGGTGCTCCCATTTGTGGTGTCAACGAAAGTAACATTCAGACTGTAGGGACTCTCGAAAATGTTTCTTTAAGCCAAACTGAGGACGATTTGCAGGAAACAAACTCGCAAGGGAGTGTGAGAATTCTTTGGGACGTGGTAATGTCACCACTTCTTTATTACATCAGGAAAAAAGAAAGAAAGGTTTGTAAGTTGGGAACTTGAAATCCATTGGTGATGGGTTAGGGAAGTGAGGGAAGATAAAGCGGGAAGCCCCTGATAATAAAGAAAAGGTGAAGATGAGTAGACACAATTCTTTTACATTACAGAAGATAAGATCGTTACTATTTAGTTAATTAGGACAATAATAACACTGAGGGGTTTTTTGGTCTCTGCTCTCCTGCGCTGTCTGTGTCCTGAAGGGTAAGACACAAGGAAATTACCCTGCCATTCCCAAGGTATGTTAACAAAGATGGGCTGGGTGAAGGTGAAAATGGACTCTCCTCAGGAATATAGAGGCCTAGGAAGTGGCTGCTAGCCATGACTCAATTTTGGTTACAAAGTTTTAATGTCAGACCGTACAGAGGGGTCCTTTCAGTCTCCAATGTGGGTGATAAACGGGACTGTGATAACACAGCAGGCAGCTCTGGCTCCAGGCATTGGTGTTGTCTGTGAACGAGGGGGGGCGGGGGGGGGGGGTGGGGACGCGGGAGGGAGGCTGCAAGGGGTTGGGCGTGGGGAAGAGTAGAACTCTGGGTCTCAGACTGTTCCAGATTCATTTTTATTATTTCTGACAGGTGGTTGTGACCTTTGAGGATGTTGCCGTGTATTTCTCTAGGAGAGAATGGCACCTCCTGGTGGAGGCTCAGAGACGCCTGTATCTCGATGTGATGCTGGAGAACTATGCTCTTCTGTCATCACTGGGTAAGACACCGACTCTCCCTGTACACTCTTTGGCTTGCCCTGTACTGCCTTTCCTCAGGGTTGCAGTTTGCTGCTTCTGTCCTAAGCTCTCAGGGTCCTGACCAGACTTGTTCCCAGGGAACGATGGGACGCAGCAACTGGTCTCAGTCTTACCCCTCATCATGCCTGCAGGGGTGTTTTTTCTGTTTTTGTTTTTGTTTTAATTTTCCAGTTCATTGCCCCAAATGTTAATAAACTAACTCACAGTCTCAAAACAAAAGACCTTCTGCCTCTCTGGTGACCTGGCCTAGTCTCTGCATTTCCCCCATACCCTTCATTCCTCTGGGGTTGCTCTTGTCCTGTGTGGATTGTGGGAGCTATTTGCTTCCCTAGTATTCTGGGTAGATCCTGGATTGGCAGAGCTGGTTTGCTTGCACTGCGCTTTTCTCTCCCTGCTGCCCCGGTACCTGCTGTACAGAACCCTCCTAGGGCAGGATTTGACCTCAGGAGTGTTGCCAGAAGGCTAACAGATTTCACATTGAGTAGTGAGAAAAAGCATGTTTTATAATCTGGAATGTTTCTACAGCTCTCTATAGTTTTTGTCCTCACTGTAAAACATCTCTCTAGATTGTTAGAGTAAGGAGGGAGGGAGAAGGGGAAGTATCAGTGTGAGCAAGAAGTATCCTTTGGTTTCCTCCCGTCCATACCCAAACCAGTATCGAGCCAACAGCCTATGTTTATGCCCAGATCAGGACTCAAAACGCACAACCTTTTGGTGCACGGGACAATGCTCTAATTCACTGAGCCACCTGGCCAGGGCTGGATAAAATACTGTGCGTGTATTTATTAGTTCTGTTTTCTAAGTAGTGTTTTCAATCTCCAATAATTCCGTACTGTTTTCAAAATGGAAGTTCTACCTATTGTTGGAAGGGGAATATTCAAGTTGTCTACTAGTGTTGTGTTGACTTTCCACTTTTGGATCTCATGCTGTTTGCTTATGTACTTAGGTGCTCTGTGGTTGGGCACATAATAATTGCAATTGTTGTCCTCCTGCTCTCTGTGTTATCTGCATGGAATATTTTTCACATCTTTTCATGTGCAGTGTATTTGTGTCCATAAAGTTTCATTGGGTCTCTCGGGCAGTGTATATTGTATCTGGGGGACTCATATTGGGGTTTTCTTGACATACACGTTAAGCCCAACCGGGCCTCAATTTATTTATTTATTTATTCCTTCATTTTTTTAAGTAAACTTTTGTATTTTTATATTCAATTTACATACATTATTATATTAGTTTCATGATGAGACATTGTATAACTTCCTAAGTGATTATCTCCGTAGACCTCACACCCATCTGGCACATACATTATTACTATGATGTTATTGATTCTGTTTCCTACTCTGTACTTGACATCCCCGTGACTATTCTGTAACTGTCATTTTGTACTTTTTAATCTCTTCGCTTTTGTCGCCCATCACGAGAGTTCTTATCAGTGTTTATTCGAGCAAAACTTATGACGATGGCCCGGACGCAAGATCTCAAATGCTTCTGTGTCTTGTGTTTGTTATCACTTCACCCACTCCATATCGTTGATTGGAGGATTCCTGAAGAACCTACTGTTGTCACCTTGTCATGTGTTCTGACTCTTTATAGTTCCTTTTTTGTTTGTTTGTTTTTCTATCTTGCTATTGGCGGGGCCGGGGGGCGTGTGTGGTGGGGTGTGTGTGTGTGTTGATTCCTTTCTCTGTGTGTGTGTGTGTGTGTGTGTGTGTGTGTGTGTTGATTCTTTTCTGTTTTGTGCCTGCACTCAGGATTGTGCTTGTGATTTGTTTTTATTAGATTACATCAAATCCACACTCTTAATAGTTTGTTGTAACCAGAAAAAAGGTTCATTGCATGTAAAAATTATATGCTTTGACCCAGACACACTACCCCTGTACGTGTATTGATGGCAAAGTTCACATCTTTCTATATTGTGCATCTATCTGCAAATATTCTCACCATTGTTATTCTTTTTTTAAAAAGATTTTATCTATCTATCTCAAATGCTTCTGTGTCTTGTGTTTGTTATCACTTCACCCACTCCATATCGTTGATTGGAGAATTCCTGAAGAACCTACTGTTGTCACCTTGTCATGTGTTCTGACTCTTTATAGTTCCTTTTTTGTTTGTTTGTTTTTCTATCTTGCTATTGGCGGGGCCTGGGGGCGTGTGTGGTGGGGTGTGTGTGTGTGTTGATTCCTCTCTCTGTGTGTGTGTGTGTGTGTGTGTGTGTGTGTGTGTGTGTTGATTCCTTTCTGTTTTGTGCCTGCACTCAGGATTGTGCTTGTGGTTTGTTTTTATTAGATTACATCAAATCCACACTCTTAATAGTTTGTTGTAACCAGAAAAAAGGTTCATTGCATGTAAAAATTATACGCTTTGACCCAGACACACTACCCCTGTACGTGTATTGATGGCAAAGTTCACATCTTTCTATATTGTGCATCTCTCTGCAAATATTCTCACCATTGTTATTCTTTTTTTAAAAAGATTTTATCTATCTATCTTTAGACAGAGGGAGAGGAAGGGAAAAATGGAGAGAAACATCAGTGTGTGACTGCCTATGTTGTGCCCCCTACTGGGGACCTGGCCCACAACTTAAGCATGTGTCCTGACTGGTAACCAGACTGGAAACCCTTGACTCAGAGGCCTGCGCTCAGTCCACTGCGCCACACAAGCCAGGGCTGTAATTCTTAGTACACTTAATTTTTGTCCTTTACAATAGAGTTTAGTAAAGTATACTCTGCGAATGAACTCTGTCAGTATTGTGAACCTGAAAGTATCCTGTCCTTACCAGACAGTTTGACAGTTTTACGTTTCTCTGTAGTATGCCTTTATTTCAGCTGAAAGATACACACACACACACACACACATTTCTTGGCATTTCTAGTAAGAGGGTGTGTAGAAATTAATTTCTTCAAAGTTTGCGTTTCAGGGAAAGTTTTTCTTCCTGTTATTTCTGAGGAGGAGGTTTGGGCATAAACTATTGTTCTTTGCAGATATTTTTTCTTAGTGCTTGGAATATATCATTTGATATTCTCCAGGCTGCAAGGTTTCTTTAGAGAACTCTATTGTTTTGGCCTTATGGGAATGTTGTCCTTACATGAGGAGTTTGTATTCCCTTTGATCTTCCAATGTTTTTCTCGGCTTTGATTTTTGGCACTTTTATTATAAAATGTCATGCTGAAATCCTGTTTGCATGAAATCTGTTCAGGGATCTGGGAGGATCTATTCACATTTGTTTGTCATATTTTGAAGGCAGTATTTAGTTTGTTTTTTAAAATAAAATTTTTACACTTCTCATTTCCCTGCCATTTCTTCCTTCTCATATTCTCTCTTTTTCTCCTCCTCTGGGACTCCCATGATGCAAATATAGGTTATTTATGGTGTTCCAAAATTCACCTTGGCTGTGCTCACATTTTTGTTCTTACGTGGAGGATTTTCAATCACCTGACTCCGAGGTGAAGTGTTCATTTTACTCCTTGATCTTGTCTGCTGTGGACTCTTTTGCCTTTTTCATTTTATTCATTGTTTTCTTCAACATCAAATTTTTGTTTCATCCTTTTTTACAATTTCCGTCTCACTGATCCTCATGTTTTATTCCCATTTTTGTTCATTATGTTGAGTTGCATGTATATTCGTTTATACCTCACTGAAGTTTTTAGAAATTATTATTTAAATTATATTTTGTCAATTGATAGGCAACCATACTTTGGCTTAATTCACTTTCACATTGTGAAGTTCCTTTTGATATTTTTCTTGTTCTCTTTGTCTTAGTGTGGATGTCTGATACTTAATGAAGCAATTACTTTTTGGACTCATGGAACCAATTCTCTTTAGAGGAGTAGTTGATGTGCATGTGCATACAAGGGTGCTTGCCAGGTGGTGTGTTGTGTTTTGGGCTGATGAGAAGCTTCACTTCCCATTCTTCTTGCTGCCCCATAACCAACATCAGCATTTTGAAGACTGAAGTGGCCCTCAGAGGCCAGGGCTGCACTTGTGCAAACAGTTAGCGATCTCTTGGAGCCTTTGGTGGCAGAGAGGCCACTAGAGTCAATGGTAGCATAAGCTCAGTGTCTCCTAGAAGTTCTTACCCTTGTGTTTTGAATCTAACCCTGTTTGCTGAGCCCGTCTTTCCTGCTAATCTTTTGTGTAGTTCTTTTTAATTACGCTTCACCTTGTAGCTGTTTGAAAGAACTGGTCTCTAAAGCCTCTTCCCCTTTCCTGAAGGGATGCTGTTTTTCATGGATAATTGTCTAATTATTCTTGAAGGGGGTTGAACACTTGCATTTCTAAACTGCCATCTTGCAGTGGTAACTCATTAGAACTTTTTCTTGGTTTTTTGGTGTAGAGGTATTCAATAACAGTGTTGGTTATTCATGTATCACGCTTTCTCTTTGGAGCTGCACTCTCAGCATTCCACATGATTTCTCTTAAGTGGAGGGAACGGAACAGTCCCTCGCATATTCCAAGAGGGACAGGCATCCAACCATGACAGGATGGGCTCACAGGGGGTCTGCCATTGCTGAATGGCAGTGGGGGAGAATCTGATTCCAAGTTTTGGTTAAAACAGAATGAGGAACCTGTTCTCTTGAACTGTGTTTTTGTCACCATCGCCAGTGGCCACACTTTAAAAATACCCTTATGGTTTCCCAGTGTTGGCAATTGCCAGTTTGTTACTTTTAATGATTTTCCTTTGCACTCTTGACTTCCAGCCATGGGTAATCTCTGCCTTCATAACATCTGCATCGCAACTTTTCTCCCGAGGTGTCTTCTTGATGTGCTCTCCCATTTTGACCAATGCCTGCTGGACATTGAAATGTACACATTTTGCTGTACAAGCCTAGCCCAGAATCTGCCCTGCTGTGGTTGATTTTCATGGTTTGGGGCACATTCATATCCTCTACACAAGCTGACATCACCAGCAGGAAGGGTTTTGGAGGGAGCCCGTATGGGAGGAATTACTTGTGAAGCCAGCCTCTCTTCCTGATGTCCCAGTGTGTGCTGATATCCTTCGATTAATGAGTTACTTATCATTACAACCCTGAGGGGCTTTTTTTGAGTCTCTCATTTGTCTTGGAAATCATCACATAGAATCGTGTCAGATGTTACAGATAGAAATTAATAATGAGGAAAAAAACGCTCCCTCTAGGTTGCTGTGTACTTCACTCATGTTCTTTTTTTGTTCAGGTTGCTGCTGTGGAGCAGAAGATGTGGAGGCACCCAGTGAACAGAATATCAGTGTGAGAATCTCAAAGGCTATGAATCTGAAGTCAGCTCTGCCTTCCCAGAATAGCCACCCCTGTGAGAGTTGTGGGCGTGTCTTGAGAGACATTTTCCTCTTAACTAACCAGCAGGGAACCCAACAGGGCCCAACACTGCTGAGGTGCGGGGCATGTGCAAAACCATTTCACTTCAGTGCACAGAGTCACCAGCACCAGGATCAGGACACAAGGCAGAATAGTTTCATAAGCAGTGTGGACAGGGTCTCACTTGCAGAGAGCTGCGATTACCATCTGACGTGGAATGCTTATACCTGTAGTCAGGTTGGAAAATGCTTTGTTATCAGCACCGGGCATCCTGAGCAGCAGGGTGCTAATGCCATGCATAGGGAAAATGAAATCTCCAAGTCAGGAATGACTTTTCAATGTGCACAGTATTATACCTCAAGAGAATGCAAGAATGCCATTGGCTGTGATGACACACTTGTTGAGGACCAGAGATTCCTTATTCGAAGAAAGTGCTTTTTGTGTTGTGAATGTGGGAAGTCTTTTACCAGAATTTCTGCCTTCCGTGTTCATCAGAGAGTTCATACTGGGGAAAGGCCTTATGAGTGCACTCTATGTGGGAAGTCTTTTAAACAAAAAGATACATTTACTTCTCATCAGAGAGTTCATACTGGAGAAAGGCCTTATAAGTGTGGTGAATGTGGGAAAGCTTTCAACAGGAGCTTTGTCCTTCGTATTCATCAGAGAGTTCACACTGGAGAAAGACCTCATAAGTGCACTGAATGTGGAAAATCTTACACCACTAGATCTACCCTCCATAAACATCACAGTGTACACACTGGGGTCAGGCCTTTCAAGTGTGGTGAATGTGGAAAATCTTTCAACAGGAGCTTTGTCCTCCGTATTCATCAGAGAGTTCACACTGGAGAAAGGCCTTATAAGTGCAATGTATGTGGAAAATCTTTCGTGTCAAGTGCAATCCTCTATATTCATCAGAGATTTCACACTGGAGAAAGACCTCATAAGTGCAGTGAATGTGGAAAATCTTACACCTATAGCTCTGAGCTCCGTGTTCACCAGAGAAGTCACACTGGAGAAAAGCCTTATACGTGCACTGAATGTGGGAAGTCTTTTAAGGAAAAAGATAGCTTTAATTGTCATCAGAGGGTTCACACTGGAGAAAGGCCTTATAAGTGTGATGAATGTGGAAAATCTTATACCCGTCACTCCAGTCTCCGTTATCATCAGAAGCTTCACTCTGGAGAATGGCCTTATGAGTGCACTGAATGTGGGAAATTATTTAAGCAAAAAGATATCTTTATTCGTCATCAGAGAGTTCACACTGCAGAAAGGCCTTTTGAGTGCAATGAATGTGGGAAATCATTTAAGCAAAAACATTCTTTGATTCGTCATCAGAGAGTTCACACTGGAGAAAGGCCGTATAAGTGTGGTGAATGTGGGAAATCTTACGCGTGTTCCTCTGGTCTCCTTCATCATCGGAAAGTTCACACTGGAGAAAGACCTTATGAGTGCACTGAATGTGGGAAATCATTTAAACAAAAAGAAAACTTTATTTGTCATCAGAGACTTCACACTGGAGAGAGGCCTTATAAGTGTGGTGAATGTGCGAAATCTTACACATGTTCCTCTAGTCTGCTTCATCATCAGAAAGTTCACACTGGAGAAAGGCCTCATGAGTGTGTTGAATGCGGAAAATCTTTTACCACTAGGTCTGAGCTTCGTAAACATCACAGAGTTCACACTGGAGAAAGGCCTTATGGGTGTACTGAATGTGGCAAATATTTCAGAACTAGCTCTAACCTCCAAAAACATAAGAGAGTTCACACAGTCTAAGGCCCAAGTGTGGTGAATGTAGAAAATCTTATACTAGTCACTCTGGGCTCCGTCATCAGTAGAAAGTGCACACTGTAGAAAGGCCTTATGAGTGCAGTGAACATGGGAAATCTTGTACCTGTAGCTCTTCCTTCTATTTTCATCAAAGTGTTCACACTGGATAAAATACTTCTGAGTGCACTAAATGGGGAAATCCTTTGTGTATATCAGTTACCTCCATTATCGTGATAGTTCACAGCAAAGGAACGCGTATGAGTGTGGTGAATGTGGGAAATCTCTTACCTGTTGCCTTAACTATCATGTTACAGAGGCTACACACAGGAACAAAGTTCTGTGGCAGCAGGGAATGTGGTAAATGTTTTATGAGTAACCTTTGTTATCCTTGGAGACTTCACTGGGGGAAAATGCCTCGGGTGCAGTGAAAGTGGGAAATCTTTCTGTAGCAGTCTACTCTGTTGTCATCGAAGAGTTCACCCTGGAGAATGGTCTTACACCTTCAGTGAATTTGTGAAATATTTTTCTTCTATCAGTGATTTCTCCTACTAAGACTTTATACTTCTGAAATGCAATTGGAGTGATGTGAATACCAGAAATGTTTTTATACTTTATCACTCTAGCAAAATGTTGATATGTTTAAATTTTATAGTTTTCTCTTTTCATATACTTGTCATGCTCTTTATGTTGTTTTAGTTGCATTTCTTAAAGGATTTATGATGAGCATTTTTCAGGAGTGTGTGTAATCGGTAGGTTCTTAGTACATTATGTGCTCAAATCCTATTCTAAAATTTTGGTCTACTTTAAAAAATAGGAGAGTGAAACAACCAAGATGTTGTAGTGTGTCACCCATTTTCACTCTTTGAATAAGTTCTTGTTTTGTGGAATTATTGTAAAAATAATGGAAAACATTCACATTATTTGGATTTTATTTTCTGTACACAATGTAGCCAGGTATATGTTATATACTTTAAAGAATAATCTGCCTCATTAATACATTTCATCGCTTTTGTAAATTCAAACACTAAGTAATATAATAGTTTTTGCTTTTTAGTTTTCACCCTCTCTGTACTGTTTCATCTGGGGTTTACTGGGCTACGGTGGGACTTGAAGGTGTTCAAGGTGCTAAGAGATGAATGGGTGTTACTTGAGTCTGAAAGCTCTCCAAGATTCTAAAGACAAGAGAATACTGATTAGCTTCCCCATGTCTTGGCCATGAAACCGGGATTTAAATCTGAGATTGTAGACCATAGTTACGGTTACAGGGAAGGTATTCACCTTATAGGCCTCAGTATTTTTGTGTTTAAATGTGGGTAAAAAACAACCTTTCCCTGGGTTGAGTAGCACACTGGGTTGAATGCTGTCCTGCAAACCAGAAGGTCACATGTCCATTTCCTAGTCAGGGCAGATACATGTGTTTTAGTCCAGTTTCCAAGACAGGAGAGTGAGAGAGGCAAACAATGAATGTTTTTGCACTTCAAATTTTCCTCCCTTTCTTGCTCCCTTACTCCCTCTAAAAACCAAAGAATAAAATATTTTCAGGAATGAGCAGCCTTTATCCCTGAATGAAAATTTTCAAAGGCTTGCTCTTTGATAATCTTTATTTTTTTTCAATCCTAACAGCACACTGGGAATTAGTAACAATGTATTTTTGGGGAAAATAGGATGGAGAAGGAGGGAGTGGTTTTTCCAAGGACACAGGAGAGATAAGTGGCCAGATTGGAACATGTGAGTCTGATTCCAGAGCTGGGGACAACCTCTACCATAACACATTAGACCCCCAGTGCAAGGCAGGACAGCAAAGGCCACAGACATAAACTCAGCTTGCTACTGTTTTCATTATTCTAATTATCCCGAGTTTTCCCCATTTTTCTGGCGTCTTCAGTCTTCATGGGAACCCTATCTGTCATTTCCAGCGGTCTATCCAGGGGAAATGACGTCCAGCTGTAGCCGCATTTTGTCTACCTCTTTTTTGAACTTAGCACATAGCTCAGCACTAATGAGACGCCAGTGATTCACAGCTGGGTCTTTTCTGGACATTCACTTATACTTTGCATGATGGAGTACGGTATTACCCACTGCTGTAAATATCATCCACTCCATTAGACCCTTCAAATGTTTTTTGTAAATGTTGCTAGCATCCTCCCTGCAGTACTGAGAACAGCTGTACATGATACCTGAGATGTATTCAGAACTGATGCTGGAGATGTGCAGTATTATTATCTTCCTAGCAGGGTGTTCACTTCACACAGGAAACTACTCTCGATCCTGTACTACACAGGTGTCCTGCCAGTGGACTGAGCCGCATGCAGCACAGGTGGCTATGAGTGCAACCCAACACAGAATCGTAAATTTTCTGAAATTATTGAGGTTTTTTGTGATTACCCATTGTAATGAATTTAATATGTGGCCCAACACAACTTTACTTCTCCCAGAGTGCCCAGAGACACCAAAAGATTAGACACCCCACCTCCTCTGTCAAGTAGTGGCTGGATGAGGACATGGGGCTCACCATGTTTTCTCTGCAGCCCTGAAAATGTTCAGCAACCACATCCCCCTTACAGCTTCCCCATGTCTGTGCCAGAGATGTTTCAGTGTGAAGGATTCCTTCTGAACAAACTGAGATTCCTAGTCCTGATTGCTCAAGATGGGCCAATCAGCCAAATCAGGTTGGGTCTATATCTTCACGGCCCTATTAGCAGTGTTATGGCTGATTGCTTTTTCAGAGAACAGGATGAGTCTGCAGCATCCCTGGTGATGTTTGCAATCTAGTCTTATGATAGGTTCCTAAAGAAAACAGGCCATTTAAAGACCCCAGGTGATATGTGTACACACTGAAAATCTGCCTCTCCCTGTGTTCTTTCCTCCTCACTGTCATTAGAATGCTTTGGATTAGTACTGAATCTCTAAAGCCCTTCTAAGGGTTTCTGATTATCCATTTTCAACACGGAGCACCCCTCAGCAGCCCTTGTAAGCATCTGGGACATGAATATTATTTTGATGCCATTGCTTTTTCATGGGAACCTATCACAAGTCATAAATCACACCAATTATCCCAGTTATTGGAGAGATTACAAGTACACTTTTTAGGATGCAGTGTTGACATGGAAACTTGAGTAGATCGTGTTAAAGAGAGCCCCCTGCATCCAGTACCCCTTTCAACAAGCAGTCCCTCCACCCTAGTTGATGTCTATGGGGCACGCATGTATGTTCTTTGGCTTCATTTTCTACACTGTTGTTAATCTTCTGTCTACTTTGTACCTACCAATTAATTTTTTAATCCCTGCATCTTTTCCCCCCATTTTCCCCTTCCCTGCCCCATTTGATAACCTTCCAAATTATCTCCATAGCTATGATTTTGGTTGTTTGCTTACTTTTTTTGTTTTAGCTTCAGTTGATGGTTCTGAATTTGTTGCCTTTTTAGTATTCATAGTTTTGGTCTTTATCTTAAATTCATTATCTTAAAGTGTCACTTTAACACTCCATGTAATCTGGGCTTATGGAAGAGGAACTCCTTAAGCCTTCCTCTTTCTGGGCAGCAATATATCAGACCTTGTATTCTGAATGACAGCTTTGCCGCTTGCACCAATCCTGGTTGTAGGTCCTTTTCATCACTTGGAATACTTCTTGCCAGTCTCTTCTTGCCTGCAAAGTGTGTTTTGAGAAATCAGCTTATTGTCTTATGGGTACTCCTTTGGAGGTAACACTTTGCTTTTCTCCTGCTGCTTTTAAGTGTCTCATTATCTTTTGACATTTTAATTATGATATGTCTTGGTATGGTCTGTGGGTCCAACTTGTTTTCGGACTCCATGTGATACCTGGACTTCTATGTCTATTTCCTTCACCAAACTAAGGAAATTTATAAGTTACTTGTAAGGTTTCAATTTCTTGCTCTTCCTCTTCTCTTTCTGGCATCCCTATTTTTCAAGTGTTGGCATGATTGAATATGTCTTAGAGACTTCTTATAGAATCCCTGTTTTTTTGAATTCTTGTTTCTTTTTATCCTGTTGGATATTTATTTCTTCCATGTGTTCTAAATCCTAGATTTCAACCCTGGCTTTCTTCCCTGCACTGTTGATTCCTTGTTGATTTTTCTTTATTTCACTTAGTATAGCCATCATTTCTTCCCTTATGTTGTTGCTGTACTCAGTGAGTTCTTTAGCATCCTGACTACCAATGTATTGAACTCTGTATCTGACGGGTCTGCTATCTCCTTTTCATTTAGTTATTTTTTCTGGTGTTTTGTTCTATTCTTTCATTTGGGCCATATTTCTTTGTCTCCTCAATTTGGCAGGTTCCTGATTTTGTTCCTGTGTATTAGATGGAGCTGCTTTGAATCCTTGTAAAAGGACCCCATTAGGATGAATATGGCTTCTTTAAACCCTTGGTTGTTGGACTTCCGTACAGCTCGATGTTCTGACAGTTGTGAGTTTTATTTGTTTTAATATATATTTGTAATTCTCTGTGTTTGCCTAAGAGGTGAGGCATGTCTACCTATGCCTGGATCTTTACCAGAAGCCTCATTAGTTCTTTATTGCTTTGAACCAGTACATGTATGTACCCATTGTTAAAGGGGGAATATTTAAGTTATTTACTGTCGTCGTGTTGCATTTTCTGTCTTCAAATCTTATATTGAAAATGCTACCTCACCAGTTCCGGAAATCTCGAGCAACTGGCTGCTTACTCCATGCAAAGAGCAAAGGAAATCTCTAAGTTAGAATGACTCTCCAAAGTATACAGTATTATTTTATCTCAAGAGAATGCAAGAAAGCCATAGGCAGTGATCATACCCAAGTTGAGGACATTGTTTTGTGTGCGGTGAATGTTGGAAATGTGTAACTAGGAAACTTCCCTTCACAATCGTCAAAAGATTCATATTGGAGAAAGGCCTTATGAGTGCAGTGACTGTGAGATATGCTTTATGCAAAGATCGCCCTACATCAACACTATGGAGTTAATTTTGCAGAAAAACAATATGAGTGCAGTCAATGTGGAAAAACTTATATGAGTAACTCTGCCTTTTTCTTCTTTGAATTGTTCAGAATGGGTGTAGGCTTTTTCACTGCAGTGGAACTGGGAAATTTTTCACAATGACCTCTACTCTGTTACTATCAGTTCAGAAAGGAGATAGGCTTCATGAGTGCAGTGAAAGTAGGAAGTCCCTTTTCTGCCTCCATCACCTCCTTTGTCATCAGAGTTCACCCTGGAGAGTGGCCTTAAGCCTGCTGTGAATGTGTGAAATCTTTTCCCTGTGTCAATACATTATTATGAGAGAGTTTACACTGTGGAAATGCCTTTTGTTTGCCTCACTATGGGAAATAATTGTCCCAGTAGCTATG